ATATATATTGTTCATAGAACATAATGGATAATGATAAAGAGCTATCTGTATGATATAGTTGTTTTGGAATCGCTTATGAAAATAATTCACTCCCAGTAATGGTTAAACTATTTAATAATATATATACATATCCATACAAAATATACATTTTAAAATGAAAATGAAATATGGTTAAATATTGACATCTTAATCGTCTCATTATTTTATAGAATTGTCAAACTTCAGTGTGCTGAAAGCTGTTGTTTCAAGCTGGTATGATCGCCACCGAAGTCTTTCTATGCTGAAAGTGTTGTTCAGAGACAAGGTGGACAATCACAAGCTATCACAAGTAAATAAGACGATGAACTTGCTGAATAATTTGATTACATATGATCATCTGAGTTCACGGAATCTTGGACTCCTGTGTGATACTATTAGAGTAACCAAACATTCAGGTCTTTTAAAGGAGATTAAAGGAAAACTACCATCATTCCCGGATGTGAGGGAAGGAAACATTTCAACAAAATTCACACCTCACAGACAAAAGCTAATGGAATTTGGAATGGTACTGACCCCATCCGATGTGACGCAGATCGATGAGTTGTATAATACACCTCCTAAGGACTATACAGATGGCTGGGAAATGATCACTGATCTTGAAGACAGACTCATAATCATGGAAGGAAATATGAATAAATTCATTGAATTGTTGAAGATCCTAAATCTCCGCCTGGCCATTGACGCACTAACAACATGAAGGTATTCCTCATTGTTTTAAATAACCATGACATGGGTGTTATGTTACATTATTTTATATTGTAAATGTCGTTATGTATAAAGAATGGCTTGAGAGATCAGATTATTATTATTATGTTGCCTACATTCATATACAAGTTTACCGTAATTAATCCTCTCTTTTTTTAATGCAGATGGACTTGATTCCTAAAAAATATTTTGTGTACTGTACCTTCTATTAATATAATAAAAGACAGATTATAGTGGATTGATAAACTGTACTGACTTGTCATTGTACTGTTATTCTTGGGGGGATTTTGTAAATTGCAATTAAAAAAAAACCAAACAAAAGCAAGTTGAGACAATCATTAATTTAATTCATTGATAGATCAAATTATTGTAAAGAGAAACCGAATTATCTTTATTTTGCAGTATGTTCTATAACATATGTGACTCATATGTGACAGTGAAACTGAAATAAGCTACCTCGTTAAATAATATATACTCATAGAAAATTACTCAACTTGTTTGTAACATGTGTTAAATTGCTAAGGCTATTTTTGGAATAATCTATAAATTTATTGGGTGCTTTTTAAATGGAGCAAATCAGAATTGAGGCAGACGAAAGTTGGTAAACACAATTGGAAATTTTTATTTATTAATCAAGTAAATCTAAATAATCAATAATAATCATTTTATGAAAATGTGTTTTTACAGGTTGATCAAAAAGTATCAAAATGGAATTATAACCATGCTGAAATTATTGTACAATGACGTTGATCCGCTAGGCTCCACGACCACGTTGGACTTGTTGAAGTTATTGAACCGCAATGAAATCCTAGTGGATATGATTATTGTTACTGATACAATGTTGTGAAGGGAAAGTCAGTGATCTACTGTGTAAGGCTTTCCACGAAACCAATGTGACGTCATTCTCAGTTCATCGACAGAATCTGATCAAACTCGGTCGAGTAATTTCGCAAGATGACGTTAAGACGCTGGGTGGACTCTACAATTTACCACCGAGTCGATACAAAGACCAGTGGATTCTCATACTGAATCTGTAATAAATTAGAGTAATTCGTAGAAATCAAATGAAGTCATTCATTGATGATCTAAATGAAATTGGACTGAATCAAGCAGCTACAGAATTAGAAAAAGAATTAGAATTTATGACGACACCCATGACGACATGTATGACGACATCTATGATGTCATCTATGATGACATCTATGACGACTGAATGAATGAAAAAGCGCAATGTACATCTCATGGTCAGGCATGGGTATATTATTGTTGTATATATAGTGAAAACAAAGATAAAATCCTCTGTTGCCTAAATGGTATGACGCTTGACGAAATCGCGAGAGATTGTTGGTTCGAATCATCCCGCGAGGGATGATTACTACCATAATAATAAGGAACTTTCGTTGATAAACTATGTTTTATATGATATTATCATGTTTCTATTTATTTGAGCACTGTATTAGGCTATTATCTATTTGATTTATACATTATTTGTGTTCCCAGTGCTAAGCAGCAACTTGATTGAATATTATTTCCTATGATTTACCAGCTGCTACTAAGCTATTAAATAGTTTTAAAAAATTGCTAGCCTATGTGTGAGCCCTCAAGTTGTATGAAAATATCTTTGATATTTTCTGAAGGAGATTGCTGGCGGGAACATTTTCATTTTAATAAAGACATAGGCCTATATGCGTAATAAAAACAGAGATTATAATAGCACAGGTTTAAAATGATTTCTTGCTTCAAACAAAGTGTCTATTCGTAGAAGTCTTGTAAAGATAAGCCTATCCACAAGTGATACCTTTGACTTTAAATTAACATAGATAGAAATATGTTAAATACAGACACAATGTACCATTTAAATAGGCCTTAAAACGTAAAATAGTGTAAAATTTTAATAAATATATGATATAATTAATTAATCTGTTAATTATAAAAGAGTATAGGAATATTTACCGGAAATAAATAATAATAATCATTGTGATTATTGTTCCACGTTTTTGTAGCAATTTTGGACACTATTGATCAGAGGTTTTAAGCTTAAAAGATGTCAAGCCTGCATGTTTCGTAATTCGACATTGAATCCACATAAATATTAGTCAAGGTAACAGCTAATGATAATTGGAGCCAGAGTAATTGGAGCCAGAGTAAGAAAACAAAAATAAATTTAAAACATAAGTTGTAAGAAGTACAGTAAAACCAAATTTAGTTCTTTAAAAGCTGACATAATTGCTGACTATAGTATTGCATATTCATTGATTCAAGAGATTCATTGCACATTTCTCATGGAGTATGGGATGAATGAGTTCAGATATCTGCTTGTTCTGTATTTGTGGCACATTAAGTCTCTTTCCAGAACGCAACCAGCTATAATTATCGAATAAAAGATTAGTTTTTATACATTATTATTCATTTTGCTTTTCTATTATTTTTCTTACACATATATTTTCTCGAGAGATCTGCTCGTTCAATTTTTTCAGCTCTATATATACTCTCTGAATATTCATGCAGCCTAATCGGATTATCAAAACATGACAATGTATCCATAGACATTAACGCTTTCAACAACGAAAGTGTTCTACATTTTAAGTATTATTATTATTGTGGACTCTAAAAAATCTGAAGGTTTTGCAGTCTAACTTTCCCTTTGTCAACGATGACCTTACACTGCATAGACATGCACCCATTATCCAGACTATCAATTTCTATTTGACAGAAACATGTAAAATGCCTAAATATGGTCATGATGACATCACATCATGACCATGTATAGGCACATCATGACTATATATGGGCATACAACAAAAATAGAATAAGTACAGTAGCACCTTCTTTAGACTAACGAAATTTATTGAGCTTTCGTAGCTTCATCGGGAGACACAAGGCATACAACAAGATTGAGTATTGTAGTAGTAGTAGAAGCTAAATGAACGTTTACAATCAAGGCATACAACGGTTTTGTTTTCAAAGGAAATTTTATAATCCTTTCTGTCTTGCTTTATTCAGTTTCAAATGCCTTAAAATAAAAGTTGCATTTACATAAATAGATAAAACATCCATCATTTTTCAATCAATGATGAATTCAATCAACGAATGAACAGTATGGCGTTGTGAACATGCTTTACAATAAGCTTACTGCCTACACTGTCAATAAAATACATTTATGCACTTGTCAATTGTAGTCCCTCTCCCCCCCCCCCCACGGACCTGGGCCATAGCTGACCACTGACGGAACTGAGCCGGGGTTGTGTCCCTGTAGTGCCTGGACTATACCTAAAATTAACCCGTAGATACGGTAACCGACCTCGTAAGGGCCAAAAATGTTACAGGTTAGATTAGCCGGGGTAGTAGTGTCAAACCGGGTCGTCCTACCTAGCAGCAGTGTCGTATCTAGCAGTATTAAAATGGGGGAGGCTGGTGTGAGGGCGCGACCAAAATATGAGGGGGCGTGGAATTTATTTCGGTGGCCACGCCCACTGAAAAATATTGCTTCTTAGATTCCCGAATACACGTTAACCGTGACAGATATGTTAAAGTATATCTCTTGAACGCAGTATTTAAGAAGTGAGATAATACCATAATAAACAAAACTAAACTTTTATTGTCGATTACGATTTCTTGCCTTAATTAAAATTACCGGATTGTTTTAACAATAGATAGTTTTATTTTAAATAGGCTTACATCAACAGTTCTGCATGCACCAGGAAAATTACTATGCTAGACCTTTCGAGGCATCGAATCATACCAACAGTTTTAGAATAATTTATGTGTGTGTTTTTATTATGTGTGACAGCGACCATTTTAGTGACTTTTATAAATATTGATTATTATTATTATTATTATTATTATTAATATTATTATTATTATTAGTTGCTGTGAAATGAAGGACGAATAAATACATAATATGGTGTTTTGATGAACGTCAATTATAAAGGGAAGTTTAGAAGGAGAAAGCATTAACCCATTTTCTTGAGCATAAGCCTAGCATAATTTTTTTTGCTTCGAAATCTTCGAATGGGGGGTGCGACTGGGGGGGGCAAGCTTTTTGTGGGGCGTACACTCCCCCACGCCCCCCACCTTGGATACGCCACTGTCTAGCAGGGTCGTCCATTACAGATTTGATCAAATTTTATACAATGCTGTTTTTCATTTTTGTGAAGGGGGAGGGAGGGGGAGTTGAAGGGTCCAGAGGGATGGGTGCAGGTTAGACGGGCAAACGAACGGACGACATATAGAAGCCCTACTTTAGTACACAGGACTGAATACCGGTACTGTACTTCATTTATATAAGAAATCCGGATCCTGACCATTGTTGACGCTTATTACTATGACGCTTATTACTACTCGCTTAACCACAGCTCCACTCTGTGTGAGCGATTCAGTAAGTTATATAAGAGAAGTGCCTGGGGGTTGGATCTTCACATGTACCCGTAGGTCTCTGTGGTCTAATGGGTATTATATTCACCATGCAGGTTCAAATCCCAGAAGAGAAACTTTTCCATACAACTGAAATAAAGAAACTTATCATTGATGAGCTATGATTTATACAATTATTTAATTATTTTATTTTTTATTTTTTTTGGAAAGCTATATATTTGGAAAAGTAACATTCATAACAATATACTATAATTGATTGTATGCTGAGGATGGGAGGAAAAGTATATAAGCTGGGTCAAGAAAATCCCTCACGTAGGCCTCCGCAGCGCCGCCATTAGTGTGAACTCTCATGGCTCAAAAATCGACGCGGAAATCCAATTCGTGATAACAATAGCTTATTGCATTGTGACGTAGATCCGTTTCTTACTACTGTACTACTGTATATGAATATCAGCTAACGGTCGAACGAGCCAACTATTGTTCCTCGACACAACGCTAAGCACAAATCCACACTACATTACATTTCCGAAGGCCATTTTTGTTCCTAAAGGTGCGTACGATTAAACAGTATATTATTTCCTTAGGGCTATAACTATATATTGACACTTTCATTTAGGTTTTTGAAATACACTCCCAAAAAGATTGTAGACAGAAAATATTTACCATTTGCCCCACCCAGCTTCTGTTACTATTTAGATGGATAGACCTACCAGAAGCGGATTAAGTAACGCGGTTCTTACAATATAGGAATCGTTACTTATATATTCACGTATGGGTATATTCACGTAACCATAGGCCTATATTCACGTCATTATATGTGAATTGCAATGAGATTATACAGATTTAGAGTGGTAGGAGCATGGAGGTAGGCCTATGGTAGGAGGATGTCATTGTTGAGGGTGGGAACTGTAGGCCTAGTGTCTGTCGAGGCATGTGGACAGATTTATCAAACTATAAATCAGCTTAAATTCGTCTGAATAATTATATAGTATATATTGTCGGATGATACAATATTTCTAAATCAATTATGTATTTAGCCGAATGATTTACAAAGGCATACAGGAAGTAGAAGCGGAATAATTCAAAATCATGATTGAGGCTGTGCACTCATGAAACAGTCTGTAGTGCAAAATAAAATGTTGAGTTTGTAACCTAGTGTCTTTGATTACTTATATATATATATTCATATATACAGATATACATATAAATAAACATATATACATATACATATATACATAGGCCTATTATACATATGTACATATATACATATACATGTACATATATATGTATGTAGGCCTATATACACATTTATACATATATATATATTTATATATACATAAATATACATATGTGCATATATACACATATATACATATATATACGCACATACATACATATATACACACATATACACACACACACACACACACAT